TTATAATCTACTAGCTGTTGTACCCGTGCTTTACAACGGGAAGAGAACACGAAATAGAAACATTTTGATCTTTACATCTGTTGATAAAATAGTTACACATAAGCCTTTTAAAAACAAAATTTAACCTTTATTGCATAGGATATAATAGATGTTGCCATAAATGTAAAAAAATAATAGTACTGCACCCTGTTGGTAAACCTTGTAACTTTTTAATGCTATTCAATATCATAGAACCATCTTAAACAGCTGACAAAATTATTTTATTCCTTTTAAATATGATTATACTCATAAGGTTAACATGGGAAACTCCAGAGCCACTGGGGCGGAGCCCGATAGGACTTTTGAGATAAGAATGCGTCTATATGTTAATCGGGAATGTAAGCTATCATCATACCAAATTTCAGCCCAATCCGACCAGAATTTTTCGTGTTTACTTGTCCTAAAAATACATGGATACATCCATACATCCAAACTTTCTCATTTATAATATTAGTAGGATAATATTAAAACATTACAGGGTTTTTTTATTTCACGATTCTAAATCAAACCACTTGGCGGATTTTCATTATTTTTGTGTTGAAAGAATAGTTATTTGTGTAACTAGAGGGCAAAGTGGCACTTAGCTGCACACGAGAGCAATGTTAACGATAATTAATATGTTAGCAATGTGTAATGTGATCTCGAGTACAGCAAAGGCCTTTTGCACTCGTGTTACACATTTTATTTTTCCTACAGTCACTATAAAGCATATAAATAATTAGTCTTTCAAACACTATACAACACGTTTTTAGGTTCAGCTGGCAACACAAATAGGTGCCCTAGAGAAAGTAGTACCCGGTCCGTATCACTCCGCTATTTTTCCTCGGCAAGAAATGTGCTCCGCGTTTTGGGAATATAGTTCCGTATGTTTTTGTAATTTGAAGTGGTTTCCGCGCCTAAAAAAATGCTTTAAAGGTATTTTCTTGTTTATTAAGCTCGTAGGAATGTTTTAAAAACGTTTAAAAGAAAAGTCCAGAAAGTTCAGAAATACCAAAACTATAAACACGAAATGACAGGTTAAATCGTAGTTATAATAGTCAATCAGCTGCTCATAGTATTTTATTATCTTCAAGTGTTGCCAACCTATTTCCAAGCGTACACGGATTACGTGCATAATAGAACCACGCTGTTTTGTGTTGTTTCGTTGGAATCCTGATGTGCGGCAAAGTATAAACCGTGCGACAAAGAAGAAACCGTACGACAAAGTATAATCTGTACGGCAAAGTATAAATATGCAGCAATTAGCAGCTTTCTGTACTATATACAGTACAAGGAAGCCAACTTTGTCGGGTGACTGTAGGAAAAGATAATTTTGAGAACTAGCTAGGGAATGTCGAAGCCATAATTTTAGTTTAGGGTTTCAGTTTTTTTGAAAATTTTAAAAAGTCTAGCAGCCGACGCTATTATTCTACACTAGCTTTTGGTATAAAATCATTTGCTTAACGTAACAGCTGTAAACATTAAGCCTGTATGTGACACAAATTCAGCATTTAGATAAAATTAAAAGACATACTAAGGGTTGACTTATTCAGGGGTGCCCACAAGGGGGGGCTGTGACGCAGACTGCGTTATTGAAATTTTTTTTGGGGGGGGGGTTGCAACAATTCAAATGGGGGGGGGTGGCTAAAGTTAATTGCAACAGTGTTCAACGTGACGACAATCAAAAATATTTTACAAGTCACCAGATAGAAAGCGGATTAATTAATGTCAATAGTTATATTATTGAATTCAATTAGTTAAAATAGTATTTTAGGATAGTTTAGGATTCGTATAGGAAGTTATTATTCAAGATTAGACAGACGTGAGATCTAAAAGGGAGGGCACGGAATAGCTCAACTGCTGAGATAGATAAAGATAACGTGTGGTACAGACACGTCCAGCTACACCGCGACTCAGCACAGAACGCTTTGTTGACATAAAGCTTATTAAAATACAATCAAGTAGCATAGGCTACAATACTTTACTCTATTGTGTAGATACTCAATTACCTATGAGCTAGTAGGGTGGGGGGGGGAGGTAATGAAAAATACGGTTAATCCCATATAGTATGAAAACATATGACAAATTAAACAAAATTAAAAACGCTGTAAAATTATTAACGTCATGATTTGCATTTTTACAAACAAAATTCAATATTGCACAATCATTATTATTGGGCAATTATGACATTTCAAATTATTTATCTTGGTTCAGTTGTACAAACGGCAACGTTTAAAATTATAGCTAACTCAAACGACTAATAACTAGCCAAACACTGCATATCTTGATAATGTCTGCAGCTACAGAATAGTCAGCACCTGACCCTGGACAATCTCAATTATTAGGTTACAAATGCGCCCTAACACTACCCCAAAACGACTTTTCGTTCTCAATTGGCCCTCTATGAATGACCTGTGTTGCCTGTACAGCAAGGCATTTTGAGAAGGGGAAAACCGGCCGGAATGCTTTAGGTTTATCAATAACGAAGATAAACATGGACAACCTTAAATGACTACATATATTTACAGGAAATGTTGATTACTGTTATATACATCGTGAGTATCTCCATGAGCTACACACCGGTAATCTTTGAGTTGATGACTCTTTTAAATCATTGTAAATATGACTGTTATTAGTTTTGAAAAAAACTCCTGTAATACATTGCAATTGCTCGAATTCGAGCAACATGTACACTAGTACTATATATTACACATCTATCATAGCCATAATATTCTACCACTTCACCTAAACAATAGAGAAAAATTAATTGTTAAAGATTCGCAAAATATCGCGTATGATTCATGAAATTAAAAACATAAAAAGCAACTGTAAACAATCCTACTTTGACAGTTCTCATTGCAGTTTTTTGTTGCTGCTTAGTTCAAATAAACTGTTTCCATAGATGAAAAAAAGTAATAGTGCTACACCCTGTTGGTAAATCTTATAACTTTTAATGCTTTTGCATACCATAGAACCAACTTTTTAAGTTCAAACAGCTGAATAAATTCTTTTATTCCCTTTAAATATGAATACTCATAAGGTTAACATGGGGAACCACAGAGCCACTGGGGCAGAGCCCGAAAAGATTTTTGAGATAAGAATATGCCTATATGTTAATCGGGAATATTAGCTATAATCATGCAAAATTTCAGTCCAATCCGTCCTAATGCGTGATTGAACTTGACTGAAAAACACAATCAACCACTTGCACTGGAACTGATTTTTTGATTGACCAATAATTCAAGATATTAAATGTAATACAATAATTTCAGCTTTTAATTTAAAAAATTTACCTTTAATATAAAAGTAAAAAATTGATCTTTTAAAGCAGCGCTCTAACAGTCTGGCGCACGCAAATGGAAGGGTTTTCTTTCTTACTGTTTGTAGCCCCAATTATGAACCGATTTAAACATCTTGGCGTCATATTTTTTGTTAAATATTATTGTAGTTTTGCCGTTTTTTAAATTTTGATAATTTCAAGTGTTGGGTTCAAAGGTTGGTAAAAATGTTAAAATATGCTACATGTTTTTTGTCATTAGTTTCAACGAAAACAAATAATTTTTAAAGAAATAATTAAAAACGGGGAAAGTGCAAACGATTCTTAAAAACAAGAATCTGCAGTTAGTTTATTAAAAACTTTAAGGATGATATGTAATCACCCAGATTCGAAAGGCTTGCAAGGGCTCTTCATGGCGTTATGGCAATGCAATGGTATAGGGACATCAGCGTTCAGCAACATCGTATTGAGAAATCCGAGCTGAGGTAGAGCTTAACACAGATAAATATTGATTTTAATTCAATTTCCTTTATAAATTACTAGATATTTAAAATTTTCAGAATTACTGCAACAAAATTGAAATTTCTACAATGTGACGAATTTAAAAAGATATATCATTGAGTAATATAAAGATTTGTAGGTTTGGGAACATGTGATATTAAAACCGTTACAGGCCAACTAGAACATGAAATATGTGAAACAGGCATGTACGTGAAATATGAAACACTTGGCAGATTGGCATATGCTAAATTAAATCTATATCACAGATAATACAGAATATTTACTTAGGTACACAGGTCGACCACACAAACTTACACACTCCGGTAAACATCAATCCAGAAATGATGCCTTAAAAGGACGGTAGATAGTTCAAAGACACCTTGTGAAAGTTAAGTGGGTTCTACCGGTAGCAAGAAGTCAATTCAAGATGGCGGCTCACGCCAGTTCGAGCTCAAGTATTTGTAAGAGTGGGCGTCCGGCGAGCTAGTTACTCTGCACCAAAAAATTTGTAAAAGTAGTTTAAATACACATAAGAGTTCAATTTGATACAATTTAATTACAATTACGTGTAATCCAAATTATTTAACAGATTTGCCCATCCCAAATGTCAACAGTAGTGAGGTCAGTTTTCTATATGGCCACAGAATAAGATGGGAAATTTTACTGTCGCAGGTTGGGACGGCAACATCAGCCGCACCGGCGTGGTACAGTGAGTGACCACATGTTCACCACCTTACTACCGCTTCACTGACAGCAAATGTTCCTAAATATGCCTCTATTGTGCTCTCAAAATTTGATAAAAAAACTTTTTCCAATGATTGATTGTGTGCTTTATGTGCTCTTAAAAAAACCGAGCCTGTATTGAATGAGGGAAAAATAATTTTAAACTATTATATAGGAGTTATAATCACATGTGAAAAAGACTAATTTACGGATATTTAAAAATGATTTTGTAAATACTTAAATAGAAAATTTAGAAATTTCAGTTCATCCAGAACATAGTTTGGATCTTTGTGGATACTTTAGTTTTTTTCCAACTCGATTAACAATTGAATAATGCCACCAGGGACTTTTTACGACCTTGACCGTGTTTACGCAGTAACCAGCTGGCAGGTGGAACCCTCTTAATGTGTGTGATCATGAAAAAATTACATAAAAAACAAACAGAAATACTGAGAAAGGGAGACCAAAATAATACAGCAAATACAGTACTTGGTTATAATATAATTTTAATCAAAATGGTAAGTAAAATATATTAAGCATCAGAGAGGACTGTTGAAACAAAACATATCAGGAGGATCATGAAACAACCTTGCTATATTGTTGGGCTAACCTCTCAAATTCAGTTTCTTTGAGATGATAATCTTTCACAAATTGATGGTCACCATAGGAATCCTTCATCTGGGCGAGATATCGGTTACAGACCTGAAAATTTGAATAAAGTAAACAAAACTTTAATATAAGAAAAGTACTCCTGTTACACAAACCTTGAGAACAGAGTGAATCCTCAGCTGCTATTTCATACAACTTAATTCAAATGTCATAGTCATAGTAAAAGGAATTTAACACTTAGGCCAGGCGCACACAGGCGATTTTGAGTTGCGCAACAGTTGCCCGACTAATCGGGGGACTGTTGCGCAACTCTCTCGGAGACTCTGAAGTCTAGCGACAGTTGAGCTGGAGTGCGCACACAGGCAACTTTTTAGTCGCGGATCTAGTCTTGAGACGTGTTGGAAATACATTCGTTACAGCGTTCCGAATGGATTTCAATGATACAGCCGTAGTATGTGCTTTGTTGCTGAAGTTTCGCGCGCGAAAGAAAAAGAGAAGATACTGGGTTCATCCCATATATATAGTGAGCGAGTTGTGAAAGGACAGAGTCAATGACTTTAAATATAGTCGGCCTCTTCTCAACTTCATCAATTAATTGTTCGACATCCTCACCACGCACACTCATACTTGCAATTTTCTAAAATCTTCACACAACAAGAGAGCAAACACTAGTGACAGTTCTGGCCACGAGTAGTTGAATTCCTGGGGTGAGACTGAGCGACACAGCAACTATTTAGTTGCATGTGTGCGCATCTACACTTGTTTCAATGGATACCAAACCTGGAGCGACAGTCCCGCAACAATTCAGTCGCAGAGCAGTCGCTGGCAAATTGGGTCCGGGAACATCGGTTGCAACAGTTGCGCGACTGTCCCCAGACTGTTTCCTTCGTGTGCGCACTCCAATTTAAAACAATGTTGAACATTTTAGTCGGGCAACTGTTGCGCGGCTCAAAATCGCCTGTGTGCGCCTGGCCTTAGGTATTTTCACACAGTAAAGTATAATCCATTGGTTCAGTTGGTGCTTATGTTTACTTCCAAAGACAAAGAATAGTTGCTTTTATAACAAACTAGCTGGGACTGTCCTGATGTGGTTTCATGTCAAATGCTTGTTCATTTTCAAGATGAGGTCGTTTGCATGGCTCAATCACGTCCTGGTTTAAGTTCGTTCGCTACGCTCACTCACCTTTAGGATTGAGCTCGTTCGCTGCGCTCACTTGCCTTCAGGTTCGCAACGCTAACTCGTCTCCAGATTGTTGTCCGTTCGCTAAGCTCACTCACCTTTTGGTTGCAAATTAGCTGTTGTCATAAATAAAAAAAAATAGTGCTGCACCCCGTTGGTAAACCTATTAACTTGTTAATGCTATTGAACATCACAGAATCAAAATTGTTTAGTTGAACCAGCTGTGAAGATTTTTTAATTCCATTTAACTATGAGTACTCATAAGGTTAACATGGGAAACTCCAGAGCCACTGGGGCGGAGCCCTTTTGACGGATCTGCACCAATCTTCACAAAAACCATCCTTGAATAATGCTTAATAATGTCTGAAAGTTTCATTACAATCTGTCGAGCGGTTTCGGAGCCCATAAAGGACAAACAGACATACATTAAATTTTATATATATAGAAGATATGCCAGATTCAAAACCACAAAAATAGAGAAATTAAACATTTTTGTAAGTATGCGGTTCCAGGTCGATCAATTGAGCAGAGCCAAAAAAGATATAAACAAGTAATCATGTTCCTAAATAAAAAATAAAAAAATATCATAGATTACGACATAACAGCTTTATGAAACTTGAGTATTTCATTCATTTTAAACCTGCTGTTACAAGCAATCTTCTTGCGTCTTTCCATTTCCTTTTTCTTTACTGCCCATGCAGTGTTTTTGATTATGCTTGTAAACCAGCTTAATCAGCAAGCCCTTGATAGTTCTTACCCTTAGCAATGCTACATTTCTCGAGCCGAAGGAAAATTCTGATTTTCCCAGGTTCACAACAGAATGATCTAAGGCAGGGGTCCTCACTAGGATTTCTTAGGGAGCCAATTGGTTTGGCAATTGGTGGATCAAATTTTCCACATGGCCGCTAACAGTAGCGGCTCATGATCACTTTTGGTGTTGGGGGGGAGGGGGGGGGGGTGGTAAACATTTGGGAGGTCTGGAGGATATGAAATTCTAGTTTGAAGGGGGTCTGGTCTGGGTTCCCCCTTCTACCTTATGGCCAGATTTACTTAGGCCTACGGGTAGTGCGGTGACCGTGAGTGACGATCACGGTATCACCAAGACGGCAAAATATGCTCGCCAGTGTTGCCGCAAACGTGAATGAATATCACATTATTACAGAAACCGCAACATTTACTTACGAGTGTTGTCGCGATCGCGAATGACGATGACATATTTACTGAGACTGCAACATTTACTTTCGGGTATTGCTGCGACCATGAGTGACGAACACGATATCGCAAAGTTGCCACAATAGTGAATGACGATCACGGTATCGCAGACACCGCAAAATATGCTCGCCAGTGTTGCCGCAAAAGTGAACGAATATCACTTTATTACAGAGACTGCAACATTTACTTTAGGGGATATTCCTGCGAACGTGAGTGACAACCAAGTTATCGCCAAGTTGCCGCAATAGTGAATGACGATCACGATATCACCGAGACTTAAACATTTACTCACGGGTTTTTGACCATCAACTTTGATGATCATCGGATTTATACCAATTATATACAAATAATTATTTTCCAGTAGGCCTTTGCGAGTGTTGTCGCGATCGCAAATGACGATCACATTATTACCGAGACCGCAACATTTACTTTAGGGGATATTCCTGCGAACACGAGTGACAACCAAGCTATCGCCAAGTTGCCGCAATAGTGAATGACGATCACGATATCACCGAGACTTAAACATTTACTCACGGGTTTTTGACCATCAACTTTGATGATCATCGGATTTATACCAATTATATACAAATAATTATTTTCCAGTAGGCCTTTGCGGGCCAGATAAAATCTGTTCGGGGGCCGGATTTGGCCTGCGGGCCAGAGGTTGGAGACCCATGGTTTACATCATGACAACCCATATGCCTAGTGTTAAAAATGTTTAAAATTATATTGACATCATCAAATTGGGATTTATTTATTTAACAAAATATTCTTACTGTTTGTCGAAATAGTCTTGGCAAATTTGAAAGGGGTCTATGACATTGAGTGGGCCCGGGGTGCATGGGTGAGGAATGGGTAAGCGGGGAGAGATTTATGATCTTGAGTTGGCCTGGCTGGAGGAGTGATTTATGTTTTGTTTATCTGCATTTCATTTGACTTGTTCTTGGAACGCGTCCTGGTAAAGTCGCAACAAGGTTTATCCAATCCCAGTTAATCGGGAGTAGAGTGCAAGAAACATATTCAATGCCGACATTCATCACCAGAGATGTTATGGACTTAATGCAATGCGTGAATGTTAAGTGCGAAAATGGGTTATAGAGTGGAAAAACTGCCGTAAAAACCTTTTTCTTTGTGGCCTTCTGTGGGGGGTCTGGGTACCCACCAAAAACATAATTTCTTCCGAAATAAAAATTTTCCTAGGTAATTCTAAACTCCCTAGGCCATTTCTACGCTTTCCCCTCTATCATTGAGTTAGGGTCATAAACTTCAGTCATCTGGTGATGAATCTAAGCATCCGATATGTTTCTTGTAGTCAAAAACATGTAAATGACTTTATGTCCCACACAGGACATTCAATAATAAAAAAGATTTTTTAACTGACAGCAAAGCGTTAACGTCAGCCACAAAGCTGCCAGTGCATTCTGTTCACCAATGATGCCAGTAAGCGATTATGAGCCTCGTTGGGGTGTACACGCGAACTACAGAGCTATACGCAAAGCCAACAATTACTTAAAAAACTACCCTGTACGTTGAAATTTAATAAAAAACTGTTGGGTTGTAGCTAATACACACCTCACTGGGTCTTGACAGATGGCGTGTGAGTACAATCATGTTTACAAGAGTATCAGGATTGTTGCTGTCCTTGTCCATGACTTCCTGCAGCGCTGCCTCAGCTTCCTCATACTTCCCTTGACCTATGAGACTCACAGCCTGGCCATTAAGCAACATGGGAGTGCTGCCATATTTGTCTATCAACTCCTGGTATATGTAGAAAGCATCTTGCAATTTCTCACCTCCCTATAACACCACACAATATTCATTCTGTCTGCGTCCCAACACACAAATAAAATGGAACGTTTAAAGTTTTTAACCAGTTAAAAAAAACTAAAAAAACCAAACAATACAAGGAAAAAATTAATTAAAAGTTGTTAACCATCATGATTGCTGACGACACATCCTTCCCTACAGTTAGTTATGTCTTGCAAACTGTGAATAGTATTGCTGATGAAACTCTGAATCACATGGTTTAGAGCGAATGGTTTTAGAATTCATAATTCAACAAACGGACTATCAAAAGTTGCTCATACAATTTTTTATACATGAATGTTCGTAGTTACAATAAAAATTTCGATACACTTTTATTAATGTTACAGTCAATCGATGTAAGGTTTGATTTCATAGCGCTTGGGGAGACATGGCTGGGTAGGGATGGGGGTTCGGGGTTGGACATAGAGGGGTACAAATTGTATTGTACGACTCGGGAAAAAATAAAAATGATGGGGTGTTGATGTATGTGAGTGAAAGAGTGAATGTGTGTGAATGCAAGGAACTGGAGCTGGGCGACGTGCACGGACTGACCTTGAACTTTGTCCATCAAGGAACTAGATCTAACGTTCTGACTGTGTACCGTACACATGAAAGTGACTTAGACAATTTCACTAACGCTCTTAGACATTACTATGAGAACAAAAATGACTGTAACACTTACGTCTTTATGGGTGACACTAACGCTAACTTACTAGAAACTGACTACAAAACTGAACGCTACTTGGATGTTTTTTACGAACATGGTTTTATATGTGGCATAAATACACCTACTAGAGTAGTAGAAAGAGTAGTAGAAAATAGTCAAACAAATATTGACCATATATTTGTAAACCACAATGATTAAACTGCCTTACAAACTGCTGTGGTGAGGACGGACATAACTGATCACTACAGTATCTGTCTACAAATAAGTCACAACCCTTACACTAAGGACACGTCACACAACACAAAAACTTACATTGACGGAGTATCTGGGTATTAAACATTAAAGAGTGTGATTGATCAGATATCTCGCTTGCGAGTGATGTAAACGCATCTACAGATATTCTTTTTGGTAAATTTAAAGATTGTGTAAACAAATCCACCAAACAAAGACCTGTTCTCAAACCGAGGCCGAGGCCACTCAAACCATGGATCACACAGGACTTGGTACAAAAAATAAGGGATAGGGACAAATTGAGCAAGTTAGTTAGGAGACAACCTTTTAATATGCAATTGATTAAAAAATTTCAAAGAATCAAAAATGAGTTAAATCAAAATACAAAACTAGCTAAATACAATTATTTTAGGGAAAAACTTGCAAATTCAAAAAACAATTCAAAAACGTTCTGGAGTACCTTAAACGAATTAGCAGGTAGAGGTAATAGAAAGGACATTAATTTGCAGCAAACAGACTGAATGTTGACAACAACTGTAGATTACAGGTAGCCGACGGATTTAATGAGTATTTCGCCAACGTTGGTCCCAACTTGGCAGCAAGTATAGATTCGGGAGGTTTACCTGTGGTCGATGACACTGACCACGCTGTTGACTCCATACTCACACTTCACACTGTAACTGAACAGGAACTCTACACCTACGTCACTAGACTGCGAGGTGGCTCAGCTCCAGGGTATGATTGTGTATCAGCTGAACTACTCAAAGACAACTGGGAGACACTTAGACAACCACTGCTACATATAACTAACAAGAGTATCCAAAGTGGCATTTTCCCCAACGCCTACAAAATTGCCAAGGTCGTTCCCCTCTTCAAGTCTGGGGACGTCACCAATATTTCCAATTTTAGGCCAATTTCTTTGCTAAGTGTGTTCACTAAGATTTTAGAAAAAATTATCAAATATCAAGTTTTTCATTACCTTAACCAGCACGATATTTTAACACACCGCCAGTTTGGTTTTAGAAAATCAAAAAACATCACAGATGCATTGTTCGAGGTTAATAAAGATATAAATTTGGCCATCAGTAGAGGCAGGCGTGTTATTCTGGTATTTTTTGACTTGGCCAAGGCTTTCGACTCAGTTGATAGATCGCTCCTTTAAAAAAAATTAGAACTGATAGGTGTTAAAGATGTAGCTTTGCAATGGTTCCGATCTTATTTTGATAATAGAAAGCAGTTTGTAAATATTAATGGAATCAATGGAAATCTTCGTAATGTAGATTTTGGGGTGGTCCAAGGTAGCACGTTAGGGCCTTTACAATTCTTAATTTACATTAACAATCTTGTGAAATTAAACATTGAAGGTGATTTTTACCTTTTTGCTGACGACACCTTAGTTTTATTCCAAGGCGAAACTTGGGACTCAGCTTTTGCCAATGCCGAAATAGGCGTGTCAAAAATAAAAAAAATGGTTTGATCAGAATGTGTTAACGCTCAATATCACTAAAACAAAATTTATTCCAATCTCCTCAAGAGCTCGAGGTGACAAACTTCGCAACGAAATAAAAATTCATTCATGTGGTCTTGAAATCGGAGATAATTGTGCCTGCCCGGTAATAAATCGAGTTCAAAATTATAAATATCTTGGAGTTGTGTTTAAATTCTAAATTGTCATGGGCAGATCAAGTGTCATATTTAAACAAAAAGTTAAGAAAACTGATTTTTGCTTTTCGCCAACCGCACAATTTTCTTGAAGTAGATGAAATTAAAAATGCATATTATGCTTATGTACAGTCGCTGCTTGAGGGGGGGATAATTGCCTGGGGTGGTGCTTACAGCAACATTCTACAACCTCTCGTTGTAACACAAAAGGCAATTATAAAAGCGGCACTTGGCAAGGGTAGGCAATACTCGTCGGTTGCTCTGTTCACTGAAATGAATGTAATTGATTAAACGCAACTATTCATCAGAACAGTTTCGATGTTTATTTTCAAACACCATGAGGCACTCTTTGATCGTCCACAACATGACCATAATACTCGACATGCACTAGGCTAAGGCATATGCTTACCCAGACTTACAAAGATATTTTCTACAACTAATTGCCACTACGTTGCACACATCATTTACTCTAACCTTCCACTAGACTTACGAGACTTCGACAGACACTCAATTACAACGTACAAAAAACACATTGTTCACTGGCTCTATCTCATTGGTAGGGATGGAGCTAATAGATTATTAGTTTCCATATACAGACAATAGCTGACAGCTGGTACAGCGTGTGATTGTGACTGCGCGTGTGTGGGTGTCTGTGTGTGTGTGCGCGTGTGTTTGGGGGGGGAGGGAGGGGGACGTTTTGGGTGGTTAATGGTAGGGGGAAGTCAACGAGTCAACCTGACATCATTATCTATGTTCCAATGCGATTAGCCAAAATTCCGCTAGCACTTTGTAATCATGCCAGTAATTAGAAGTTTTTTGTTTTGTTTTTAATAAGTATCAAAGTTTCTTTTTCTTTCTTATTAAGCTGCAATATACAACGATTCACTCCCACGCACGGGTTCTCCCATGTGGGTTTAATTTCGTATACTTATAAGGTATTCAGTTATACTTCTATTGTAATACATTATTTGTAAAAACTGTAAAAATAATTAGGTATTTTATACGGAATAAAAGAAATTTTGATTTGATTTGAACATTTTTTTAAGTAAGACTCTGATTCCACATTGTGTGTGCACAATATGTTACAATATGTCACAATATTCGGGCCTACTGCACAGTTTGTCACCATGTCTATCAGGGATCCTGCCGATTCTGAAGTTATTCCAGTTTTTTAATGCAAAAAGTTTGTCCTGCTGAAATTTACAGGCAGCTTGTTGAAGTTTAAAATGAATGCTATACATGTAATAAACTTAAACGGTGTAGGATTTTTAAAGAAGGTAAATGTTTGTTAAGAAGAACGATCTGGAAGGCCAACCATTGGGAATGAAAAATTTACACAAGACATTGGTTAGAAAATCTGCCAAAATAGGCACTTTACTTTAAACAAGTAGTTCTAACCACCGTTAAAAAAAGAGACAGTGGATTGAAGGTGAGAAAAACGTTTTAATCACAACAGGAAAATTACATGACTTGTTTTTATTTTTGGTTAGATAGTTAAAAATTACTTCATTTTCATATTTGCCATGATTTACAAAAATAATAATAATAAAAGTATAAAGGTGCGTCCACACTTGACGAACAATGTCCGCTGAACAATGTTCGCTAACATGTCCTTGTTCGCCAGCGAACAATCGATGTCGGCTAAGTGTCGACACATTGACGAGCTTTCAACGAAAGTTCTGAGAGCGAGGGTAGGGGTAGCGTGTCGCCATTTATGTTCAGCCTAAATGTTTGTTCTATGAGCAAACTTTTGTCTGTTCAGAGAGAGCGGCCCTTTGAGTTGCAGCCCCTTGCAGTCATTGCGTTAAATGTGAAAGTGTGTGTGCAGGGGCGTTGCCTTGGTGAGGGGGGGGCCTCATCTTCCAGAATCTGGGAAAGAGAAAAGTTTAGAATTTCCTTGCCACGAGTTGGGAAGTCAGAGACACGAGGAAAATATATTTTTAAACAAAATAAAATTTAAATACATTTGCAAAAATCTATCAAAGGTTGAAATTTCTTTGACTGGGACAAATAAACTTGATGTTTCTTCAACTTGCATTTAACTTTGATTAAACATCTTAGGCTAAAAACACCTTATTTTAAGAAATCAATAGTCAAATTAGCGCTGTAGTTTGTTGGAATTTCGTTTACGAAAAATTTTGTTCCTTATTGGACGTATGTTGGCTACCCTGATTCTGTCCTGTGTTGATGATTCTGATGATTCGTCTGCGATGCGAGACTGCGAGTTTGAAATTGCAAGCGATGTAGCTCTTCAGTTGAATTATGTTGATTGTTAGTGTTTACAATAAATACAAACATATTTTACAGGTCCTAAGTCACATTAACTATGTTTTACACCTTTTTTTAGTATTTGGAGCAGGCTAACTGACAGGAGTACTTGCTAATAAGTAGATTAAAATAACATTAAATTATATAGGTTTTGTGTATCAGTATTACATTTAAAACTCTTATTTTTTTAATAACTTAAATGAATGTATGTCGAGCAACAATGTTTGTTATGGATTTGAGATTTGATATTAAAACCTTACAAATTCACTACTTTTTAATAGGGTTCTTATGGTCATGCTATGTCAAAGAATATTCAGTTTCCACTATTTATATAACATCAGGATAGATAGAGATTTAGAAAAAAATTCAAATTATACTTACAAACCCAGATGTAGTGTGGTCAATGTCTAAAAGCTTGGGATCAAGGTGGGCCGGATATATTAACGGCTTTGTCTAAGGAATATGTCGGCCTTAGTCACTAACAAGACTACAAGATCGTCCCACTCATCCTACACTCATCTCCATTCATACTTGGCTTAAAATACCAACTTTGTATGGTCGCCATTTCAATGAAAAGTATTAAAGTATATAAGTGAAGGAAAGAAGAATGTAATAATCAAAGAAACATGTAATCATCAAAGAAGAATGTAATAACCAAGAGAGTCTACCTGGGAATATCAGAGGAAAGAAGGCCACTACTAGGCAGAACGAAATTGAGGTTCAAAAGAACATCAATAGACTTGGCACACTTGCACAGGATAGTGACTTCAAGCTGCAGAACACATAACAGATTGTTGAGGTATTATTCGCAAGACCAAAACATTCTCACGTTCCAATGTCCAAGAGAGTGAGGTAGGGTTAGGTAAATATACTATCTATAATAACACGGGCTTAAAAGTTCACTGAATCATATTTTTCTTAGATAACATTGATTAAATTTTACCATGGCATTGTTCACCCACGCTTGAGCTAACTGTGTCAGCGTTGAATCTTCATCTTTCTCTTGCATGCTCTTCAATTCCTTTCGGGCTAGGTCAACCCTATCCATTTGAAGAAATATCTGGATGTTCATAGCAGAGCTGAAAAATATTGGTTGATGAAGTAGGTTAATCTGTAAAGGTAAAGCATAAAACTCTATGTTTTAAAATAGTTAAATTTGTGTTTTTACTACATAGGCTACTTTATTATTACTTTATTAAGCTACTTTATTTACTTAATTAATATTATGTGCATTTGTAAAGGTTTAGTTTTGATAATTTCTAGTATTTTCTTAATACATTTTTAATACCTAGGTGACATTAAGTTTGATACTTTTAAAACTGGAACGCACAAATATTTTACAATATAAATCATAACAGCTATTTATAACTTCTAGGCCTATTGAATTCTATAGACATTTAACAACATTATATAAATCACATTATATATTAATAGCCTACCATCTTCATGCAGTCTCCTTTTGTGACAGAGAATGATTTAGTACAACATTTCGATACAGTAGCATGTATTGATTATGCTAAATTTCCTTTATAAACAATAAATGTCTAGAAAACCTTGGTCATTGCAAAAATACTATACATTACAATAATGTTTATAGTTATTATGTTATTTTACATATGTTGTGTCAGTATTAATCCGAAACAACAACTTTATTTATACAAAATCCCCCCCCCCCCAGCAGAAAACTTTCAGAATAAACAAATTTTCTTTTGCCTGATAATCAGGCAAATGTAAATTTGCTAAGTAATGTAGTAGAACCTCGAGCGAGAGAAGCCGAGGGCACCAAATACCCTCTCGCACTTGCACCCGCTTGCCTTGTCTTGGAAAGAGTGTACTGGGGGCATTAAACATTGATCTGCTGTGTCTTGCTATGTCACAACAGTTTGTAGTTGTGTAATTAATTATTAACCATGACAACTTTAGTAGCCTGTGGTTGGGTGATTAGTAACCATGGCAACTTGTTGGATTTGTGGATGAAGAGAAATCAAAGAAAGACTAGAAGAACAAAGAGAAAGAATAAGTATGTTTTTAGCAAATTTCCCTATAGGAAAGCAGCTATTACCGTAGGTACTCATGGTAAGACCTGGACCCGGGACCGATTTAATTTTTCATGTTGACGTCTCTAGAGGCCAAAAACACCATCTGTTCAAATTTATATATATATATGTCCGTTAGCGCGATAACTCGAGCAAAAATTATTCGATTTTGATGAAATTTGGTACAAACAAGTAAACCTACGTTTATTCTAACGAGTTCGCGAACCAGCATAATCGGACCATGGGAACAGGGGTTTATGGGGTAAAAATGGGGTTTTCCCATTTTTGACCCTAAAAACAAAAAAATTGGCAATTTCTTTTTAAACCGTTTTGTAGAGCTTAAAAAAAGAAATAATTTAGTATATTGAAGCGCTGTTGTATGCCTGACGGTCACGGAGAAAATTAAAAAATGGTGTAATTTAGAGTTCCCATGTTATTCTTATGGAGAAAATTAAAATTGTTGTAGTTTACTTGTTTATGGATATATTTATAAAATTTGGCAAATTTATTTATTTCATCCTATAGGCCTACTATTGACGTATGGTCAAAAAACACTTTTTACCTTCCCCGTAGCAGCAAACCTAAGCACTCGTTAAATCTGATGTTATTAAATAGAGAATAAATATATCTTATTTATGGAAATATTTTAGTAAAAATGTAATCAGGCAAGTTGAAATTCTCGTAGTCTGCAGGTTTGCTGCGGCGGGGGTATTATGTAATTGTTATTTTTATCTTTTATCTTATTTTACAACTGTTGTTATATTATCTTTAAGTACTATGATTTCATACTTTTTAAGAGTTATCTAACATTTTTATCGACATTCTTCCGTCTTGAAACAGCATAATGCAGTAGCCTATGACTAGCAGTAGCTTAATAGACTTTTTATTGACATTAAATTAAATTAAATCTTAAATGATATATTCTGATCTTTACATGATTTATTGCTGAGCAGTGTTTGGCAATTTTTGTTAAGAAGTCCGTTAAGCTGTGATTTTAAACATTACAGTTTTTACTACTGAACCAAGGTTAATGCATTAACATATCACGATTGTACAATGCACAGTAGCCTATTAATTGTATTTTGATGATGTAGTTATGCAAATTATCACAATAATGTCCTTTTGTACAGTATTAGGCATTTTTTATGGGTTTGTAATATATGTTTATGTCATGTTGGGTTAACCTGGTTTTCAGTTATCCATGGTCTCCCACCCCCTCATCACCCCAGATAATTGAGGTTCTACTGTACTTTCCTCTATGGGAAATTCGCTAAAACCAAAATGAACAACTTGTTATTTTCATATTGTGAGTTTCAGATGGAAAATCACCGTAGTAAATATAGAGAGAAGTCTTTATACCTTTCCAAACTATCCTCCTGATGCAGAACTCTGAGAGCAGCTTCGTAGTTAGCGTCATAACAAAATAGAGTCGCAGCAACAATAACAAACGTATGGTTGGAAAGATCTGCACTGCCACTCAACTGGTCCTTCACAGAATCCAACAATGCTTCTCTGTGAATCATAAACACCTAGGTATTAAATCATTTCAATATGAGAACACACAGTTTTAACGGTTACAAAAAAGTAGATAGCGTTCACAATGTAAACTGTGTGTTTTAAAAGTTGTATTATGCTATCGGCAGCCAAGACAAAAAGTCACCCTGAATGTGCAAGACAATTTGATACCTTCTAGCTGCGGTAACTCAGTGGTCATAGTGCTCGCCTGGTAATTAAAAAATCTGCAATATGTTCAGTTGACAAAAAGTATGCACCTTACCTTTTTTATGGGTCAAAACTGGACCCAGCGGTCCTTTAATTGAATGTGGGTAATGAAACAGCTGATTTTATTAGTCAGTAACAAAGCGACACAAGGCATTTTAGACCATTCTAGACTCCCCCTTCACTCATATTAGGGTTAAAATACGCACCTAGATGGTGTTCTCATCTCAATTGATAACAGTACGGTAATGATAATAAAAAATGAAAAACAAATTGACAATTTGTGTTTAAGCAATTTGTTAATGTAGACTCTTTTGGTTTTAAGTTTAATTCTCTGGTATCAATCAATATTTTTATAACTAACGTCATTATTTACACAACCTTTTCAGAATTAGGCTAAGTGTTTGTGAATTTGATCATGACATAATAGTTTAGACTCCCTGGCTGATTACAACACATACCGCTTGTTAGGGTTGGCAAGATAATCTGCCAAGAGTCTCAATGGACGAAGTTCTGCTGGAGATGTCCCATGGATTTCATCGAGAACAATGCGATATTTTCGTTGAGCTATGTATGCTCGGTACAGGAAAATATCTCTTTGCATCTGTAGTTCAGATGTCGATGGCTAAACAAATTAAACATCACAACTGTTAGTTTAACTAACTCAGACTAAAAACAACTGTAGCCTACAAGTAGGCCTATCTACCAACTTAGACTAAAAACATTTGCACATGTATCTAAGGAAGCTATAATCCGTTCACAAAATTTAGGCGGTGTTAGGGGAAGCCATCCATCTCCTCCACTTGATCCTACCTTTAGTACAATAATGCTGTACAACAATGATACTTTAATACTTTACAATAGGTACATCCTACAAAGGAGCCCTGTACTTCAACAACCTACCAGAACAACTTAGAAATGAACAAACCACAAACTCACTGTTTCAAGAACCAATTGACAACATGGCTGCAAGAAAGGCCATTCTACTCAGAAAAAGAATTCCTTGACAACCAGCTTCAACAACACATTAAATCCACATATTTTAGTTATCATTCTGACGCATGTACTGTTCTCAACGAACATGTCAATAAAGATTATTGTCTATTGACTATACCTCAACAGCTGAGATTTGCCAAAACGTCAATCAGCCACAAATTACATTAGGAAAAAAAAGTGGTGGGGGAAGTTCCCTCAAACCGACCAAATTTTGTGAATGGACTGTTATACTATTATTATACTATAAGGAAGATGGTTTCTAAACAAAATCTTGAAGGTAAAACTGTACATTTATAATCTTTAGGTAACACCATTGTGTCAAGGCATTTTCATCGGAAGTCTGGGGTTCCACAGGGTTCACATTTGGGACCATATTTTTTTCAATGTATTCATCAATGATCTTTATGACCAAGTGTACGTTGGTACCCTCATGTTCGACGATGACCTGAAGCTTTTTTGTGAGGTGTCTTTAGTCAATAACGCTGCACAACTACAGATGAAACGGAATAAGGTTATGGCATGGTGTAGAGGGCAATACTATGAAGATAAATCCCAGTAAATGGCTCTCATCCTCTCGTATTTTTTGGGAGTAGACACTGTTCCAAGAACCTCGACCATCAAAGATCTAGGATTTCTTTTCTCACACGACCTAAGGTTTGATGATCATGTGGACCATGTTAGAAGGTAAAGAACCAAATGCTAAGATTTATCATATGCTTCACACGAGCTATTTGTTGTCCATGGGATTTGACTTCTCTGAACTGCTCATTAGTCAGACAAGGACTGGAATTTGAATATGCTTCTACAGTCTGGTCGCCCTACACGGAAATTGACAGGCAATGCTTGGACACCATCCAGAAAATATGTCTTCGGCTTGTTTGTGTTAGAGGTGGCTTTTCCTATCGAGATGCGCCTGTGGATGACTGTGCACAGATACTAAGACTGCATCCATTAAAACTTCGGAGAGATGTTGCAGACCTGTGTCTTCTATACAAGGTTATGAACTTGGCATCCTCAGTTGTCCAGAACTTCTCCAGGAGATTGACACCAGGGTTCCTGGCAGAACTCGATCCAGAGCATTGTTTGGCCGGCGCTTTAGGTCAACATCTTATGACGTCAACAGTCCACTTCGCTAAGATTCTTCGCCTGGGAAACACGATTTCAAGCAATGACTTCTAAATAAGTAAGTTAAGAATTTTGTTTTATCTGTCTATGGACATATTTTGATTAAATTTGGGAAATTTATTTATTTTATCCTATAGACCTATTATTAAAATCTGATAAAAAAATATTTTGTTCCTTCCCCATAGCAGCAAAACTATAAGTAAGTTACGTTAAATCCATTAATATTATTTAAATAGGGAAAAATTGCAATATGTTAATGTAAATTACAAATACAAACTAATTGTGTGAAATTTGGTATCAAATTAACAACAATTTCAAGAGAACTTGAACAATATTTAGGTGAACAATACATGGCTTACGGCAAGGACCCACCTCTTTGGTTCATGATAGCCGGTCACGCCTAAAATTGCATTCTTCGGTTGTAACAGGCTATGAAAGAGCAAGGGGTTAACCACCAGTAAAAGGCGTCAAACACGTCTTGTATTTTAAATTTTTAAAGATATATTTAATAAGTAGTAAACATTTACACCAAATAAAGGAAACTAATGTAGAAAAAGGGAGATTTGATAACTTATAGAGCTGTTACATAAGAGGTATGTTTTGACGTTTTTCATTTGTAAGGTTCAAATCAAATACAATCTATTATTCGACCATGAATGAACAATAACAAATACTGCATTGTCCAAATAAAAACAAAAAAACTAATACTATTACCAATTCTAAAAAAATTACAATATTTATGGATTACACCTTTGAAAACTTGCCAGAAACTCTTGGACCCAGCAAAAAGATAGTATTAATCAATTATAGATAGTCACCTGCAATGTGGACATCCTCTTTAAGTTTTGTATAAAAAATCATCATAGAGCCGCGCCAACTTAAAATGTGTGAGCTTGACTAATACAAAAGTTTACTTTATTGAAATTATTTCATTCTTTTTAGAGCATTTGAAGTTGGCTGTATTTTTTACAAAAATAAATTATTCCAAAGAATTCGAATTGCATACAGACGCAAGCGACCTAGCAGTTGCGGGAGTTTTATTGCAAAGAAATAAGGAGGGGAATTTAATGCCTATTGCTTACTATTCAAAGAAATTCACACCTAATGAAATGCGTTATAGCACTTACGAAAAGGAAGCTTACAGTGTAATCTTGTGTAGAGAAATGGCATCAGTTCTTGGAAGTAAGAAGTTTTAAATTGGTTACCGATTGTGAAGGTCTTAGTTTCATGCTCAAATCTCGAAAAAGCCGTGGAAGTCAGAACCTGTAGCTAATTTACAAATATTCGAGTCATCACCACAATACATTGATCCAAAAATCTTAAATAACTTACCAACAAGTTTAATTACTCTAGAAAATCCCTATAAGTTTAGACTTTCTTTAAAAGAATGGCTCAAGACTAAATCTTTTTTTTTCATTGGCTGATTATTTTAAGGACTGCTGGAATTAGGTATAAATAAACCTTCCCACTCCTCCTAGCTCAATTTTTTGTCATGTAACAATGATGTATTTTGGGAAGATTCAGTTGATTTTGTGTAAATACAGATGTATTAGTTTTATCTATTAGTTTTAAGTCTTTATTTACCCAGACAGCACGTGAGCTTGGACTAAACTTGGCTTTTACATATTTCTGAATTGGTATGACAAACTTGGAGTTTGGAACCCACGACAAATTTAAAACAGCTTTGGTTAAGTGAACTTGTGCGAATGAGCCAAAACTAAACTTGCTTTATTTACATATATAACCTGGTTGGCCAAGTCCAAAATTTAAACACCCAAACAGACCCACGACAAGCTTGTTCATGTGAGTCTAAAGTGAGCAGTGCCATATGACAAAAGAATTTGCCCTCCACACCTACCCACAACACGCTCATAAAACCTGTTTCTTTGTGCTGAACCACCATTTTTGTTGGATTTAGACTTCCTCACTCTCAGTTGTCAGTTCTCTTGGTCAGTTCTCACTTATAATTTGGTGTTGTGTTGTGAGTTACTTGTTTCGTTGCTAGTCGTAAGTTTTGTTTATGGTTTTGATACCAAGACGAAGCGGAGAAGAACTAAGGGAATCATGTAAAGGTAAGATTTACACTCCTCTTATAAAATTAAGCATAGATCGAAAATATACTTGTGTTGGTTAGTCTATGATGATAAAGTAAGCCAAATTAAGTAAACGATTAATTTCATTGCATCAAGAACTCGTAGAATTTTGTTTATAGCCTAAAACTTTTATGCTTTATTCTTTGTCATACTCAGCGCTTCACTGAATCGACAACGTCACTCACTATACTGTCCGCGAGAGTAAAGAAGTCCCTCGAGCCAGAGCGATACGCAGCTATGTTTGGAGGGTATCGCGCACTATTTGCAGGCGCTAAGCATCTGGGCGCCTCGCCTCGATGTCTGTCTGTAAACAACTGTCGTAAACATAATTACTCATATCTTTGTTTTAGTAAGTGGATTATCATCATGTGGTCACGTCATTTGATTCAGCGCAGTCTTGTATGTTTGCGTATTGAGTTCTGTTTTGTTTTGGACGGTCCTTGCAGCTATGGATATAAGAAAACGTGGTGCTACTATACATATAGTGGAGAGAGGGATTTAATTAGACTGGTGATCGAGTGTCGTGAGAATGAATGTAAAGACAAAAAGTTATTAGTGCCGATAGAAAAGGCATCAGAACGTGCCGCAAACTATTGTAAGTGACAGAGAAGAACTAAGTTTCAGAAAAAACTACTAAACGAATTAGAAAAAACCGGCAAACAAACTCCGGATGAAAAACTCTGTACACCCAGAAAAAAAACGCAAGAAGGCTGACCACCATAAAGGACAAATAGATAGTTTTGATAGACGTGTAATCGTAGATGTAATACGCGATTTTTACACGACCAAAAAAATGTACATACATGTAATAGGTAGTATATTTCATAACAAGAGTAGAAAGTGAGTCATTACATATTTGAGACCATGTTTGAAGTGCGAGATTTATCGAGCACTTTAAATGGTCGAGAATATGTATAGACCAACTTTCACTTGTGTTTTGAACGTTACTTTTCGGAAAATTGAAACATTTGATAAGGTAATACCAAATATTTGTTTGTTTACGTCGGCAAAATCTAAAATAGATAGTAAACATTTTTTTGCCATAGTAAATAATGTAATGATGGATTTTCGCAGGTGATAAACATGGAACGAAAACAGGTCATTTCACAGTAGTGTAGGAAAAAAAACTATTACCTGTTTTGAGGGAAAGGATTAATTTTAAATGGGTTGAATTGGCACTTCGGCGTCTTTTCAAAGATATGGGGTTAAAGTGGAAGAAATGTGATTCCAAAAGAAAATGTTTGATTGAAAGGCCTGACATTATTAATTGAGAGTTTAAGTATTTGCAAGTGATGAGGAATTTAAGGGAACAAAATAGGAAAATTTTCTTTCTGGACAAAAATTGGATGGACAACAATTTAACGTTCCAGAAATGTTGGCTAAGTGTAGACATCGATGGTGTGTTACCTTA